CTACTGGAAACCAACTCTTACCTCTGTTAGTATTCCGAAACTAACCAGCACTAAAACAATACCACTCTTGAAGACTAACGGAGCACCTTCTGAGTTCCAATCACACTTGCGAAAACCACCACAGCCTAATCACCTACTATATAAGGAGATGATCTTGAACCTGTAACGTCCGGTTCATGGCATGTATTAAATTCAAAAATAATAATAAATTTATCATTTCTTTTATCCATACTCGACGAGTTGGAGGCACAAACTCGTCGAGTAGGGTCGAATTTGGACGTGGAATTTCATGTCTACTCGACGAGTTGGGAGACCCAACTTGACGAGTAGAGCTGCCAGAATGAAACCCTAATTTCAGGGGTTTTCACCCTATTTAAGCAACCTATTCTCCACTTTTTAGCCTCATTTGCTGCCTCCATCGTCTGAAACCCTAGACAAGAAACCTTAATTCGTTTTGAAGAGTTTTGAGCCATTCTTTGTGATTTTGAAGCTTGTGAATGAAGGAGAAGCTTGGGGATTCAAGAAGAACCTAGTAGATCCATAGTTCAAGCTTTATTTCAGAGTCATTTGAGTCTCCTCAAAGAGCATTAGTTGCCTTTCAAATTCTAAAAAATCCAAAAGGTGTTCTCCAAGCCACTTAAAGAAGTTCGCTTTCTCTTCTCTTAAAAAAAGGTGGGTTGGTCAATCCATTTTTTCCATTGGAGAGGTACTTAGCAGCCAAATATGAGCACCGTGGCTTTTTATTTTCCTTTGGAAATTGCCCTGGGATTCACAGACATATATGGAGTCGTAACAAGGTAGTCGCATCGAGGGCGCGGCTGGATTGAATCCTTTCATTTTAGGGGGGGGGGGGGGGGAGCTCATGTCTGTTGGGTATTACCTTTCCTAGAGCCTCCTCTCACTCACACATCATATGATTGTGTGGTGGGCGACATTACGGGCCGACCCGAATCCGCGTGGATAGGTATAAAGATTATACCTTGGCTTTCTATCACTTAAATCTTCATTTTGGGTAGTATGTTGTTACTTTTGGGCCATTTTGAAGTCATTTTCGGGATTTGAGTGTAGTATGGAGTTGTGACTTCAAATCTAGGCACATATGAGCTCATGAAGCTTAAAGTTGCCAGCTTTATTGAGCCATGGCCCTTTTCCATGCCCTATATCTCCTTTATAGCTTGATTTTGGTGTTTCTAGCTTCATAACACTATGCATGGACGTAAAGTTAGCAACTTTACGTGTTATGCTAGCCCTAGGGGACCAAATCTATGATTTAGAAGCATTGGAATCAATTGGAATCAACTGAATGAGTGTGGAATAAGAGAAAATCGACGAGTTGCTCATGCAACTCGACTAGTTGGATTGTGATTCCCTACTTTTCTGACTCTGGAGCAAACTTAGTGCGTCTAGGAGACGACTCACTGAGTTGGTTAAGGTTCTCCGAGTTTTGAAGATTAAGGAACTCGTCGAGTTCAAGGAAGAACTCGATGAGTTGTTCTGAAATGTCCCGATGCTGTTTCAAAACCCGTCGAGTTGGAGGATAACTCGACGACTTGGATCATGATTTTAAGGTTTTCTGATTTATGGAACTCGACGAGTTGATCGACCAACTCAGCGAGTTCAGTCAACCAGTATGTTGACATTGACGTTGACATTGACCAAAGTTGACCCTAAAGGGGTGATGAGTGTGAAAATGGTAATTAAAGGAAATGCTTATGAGTAGGAGGTTGAGTGGATTGATTTCAGACCCGAGGACAGTTTAGCTACTACACAACATTTGAGGTGAGTTACCATCCAGTAGAAGTGGGTCTAAGGCACCAAGGCCGGCCCAAAATTATATGGTATGCCACTATCTGTTATTCTTATGTGCTAGTATGCCATGATAAGCTATGTATTTATGAGGTAGTGGTAGGGTGAAATAGTCCCCGGTTACCGGTTGAAAGAGGCCGAAGGGGTAGGCCAGCACCCATATATGCTAGGTAGTATGTGATTTATGAGTATATGCTAGGGTATTATGTGGTAGTGGTAGGAGTGAAACAGTCCCCGATTACCGATTGAAAGAGACTGAAGGGGTAGGCCAACACCCAGATATGCTAGGCAGTTACCGGTTGAAAGAGACCGAAGGGGTAGACCAGCACCCAGATGTGCTCGGCATATACCGGTTGGAAGAGACCGAAGGGGAGACCAGCACCCTGATATGCTACGCATTATGTTATTGTATGGTATGCGGTATGATGGGGGAACTCACTAAGCTTCGTGCTTACAGTTTACAATTTTGGTTTCAGGTACATCTTCCTCGAGGGGAAAGGATCCGGCATGACTGCATCGCATCACACCACTGTCTTCCGCACTGTGTTGTTCTTGGGATTTGTACTCTAACATTATTATGACTTGTTTTGAGACATATGAATTATGGGTTTTTATGATATGAGATAACCTGATGATGTTTTCAGTAATCTGTTTTATGAATTATTAAATTAAAAATGAATTTTTTGGCCTTGGATTTTCGGATGTTACAAGTTGGTATCAGAGCCTTGGTTTGAGGGATTTAGGCACACTCTCGGGTGTGTCTAGACTCAAACTGAGGACTTGGTATGAAAATTTTCAAAAAAAATCATTTTATAAAAAGAATTTTAAAAAGAATTTAAAAAGAGAAAAGGGTGTGGTACATGCAAATTGCCGAGCTCAAGTAAGTTTTCCCTAAGATACCCATACATGTTATGTTATGATATGATATCATTATGAGACCTGCATGCTAGATTAGGGCTGAGGATCTAGGATGGATGCCTTATATGCCTACTGTACGTGTATGAGAACTGCATGCTAGATTACGACTAAGGATCTAGGAAGATGCCTTATATGCCTGTTGTATGTGCTTGTTGAGCTGCATGATAGTACTGACTTTTTAGAGATATGATAGCCTGATTAGGATATGCTTGGTTTGGGTTACTCAACGCCCGAATGATGCGTGCTTTGTGCTTTTAGGAGTCCTATTTATCTTTAATTAACTAGTAAACGAATACGTTAAGTTACATATTGTGAGGACTAAATAATTTCAGAAGGTTAGGTCTAGCCCTATTTCGCAGCTCTTGTTTAACTCCAATCGTTGTAGGGTAGGACCTCTCACTCAAAGATTTATCTGGTCTTAGTGATATGTAATGGTATTCGCGAGTTATTTAGGTAAAGGTAGCAGGGATTTCTTATGCAGCTGATGACGGAGGGTAGGTCGGAAAGTTACCCTAGGGTAAGCCTAGGATGAGATTAGTGCAGTGAGCATTAGTAGTGAAAGGGACTTGGTGAAGTCAATGCAAACCTTGAGGAAAGTACGGATAGATGTGGAAGGTAGTATGGGCCCGTACTACTGAAAGCAGAGGATCCGTACTCGAGTCAAGAGGGCTGAGATAGAACCAGGGAACTTGTAGAGTATGTGAGACCTCTCGAGGTTATGTATGACCCTGACGATTATGTGTTTTGTTACAGAATGGTGGCGGCACGTCACGGAGCAGGAGGTTCAGGGTCGGGATCAGGTTCAGGTTCGAGTGCAGGTTCCGAGCCGGTTGATGATGGATTACGCGAGTTCATCGCGTATGAGATTATGAGAGGCATCCTTAAGGAGACCCTGGCGATTTTCGGGTCGATCGAGGAGGGGATCATTGAGCTGACGGAGGATCGCCTCAGGGCATTCCGGAGTGACATGGCATCTAGACAGTCAGGGACACACACACTCTCCTTCAAGGATTTCAGGGGATGTGGTGCGCAAGACTTTCACAGGGTAAAGGACCCTATTGTGGCCAGGAGATGGATGGCAAACATCAAGTCTGCACAGTTGACGAGCTTCTGACCTGAGGGGTCGAAGGTCTGGTATGTTACGGGGTGTTTGAGAGACAGAGCCAGAGACTGGTGGGAGGCAGTCAGTGAATTGTTTGGAGCCCCAGCCATTGAGGCTATGACCTGGTCGGACTTTGTGACTAGGTTTAGGGCTTAGTTTGCACCGGCTGTGGAGCTTCAGTAGCTGGCCAGGGAGTTTTTGGATATAAGGTAGACTACTGAGTCGGTGGCGAAGATTACCGCCAAGTTCAGGTAGAGGGCCTTACTGGTGCCTCATTACGTGGGTGATGAGGAGATGAGGAAGACCCAGTACCATGACATGTTGAGAGCTGACATTCGGAAACATGTTAGTTATTCAGCATGTCAGACTTTGGAGGATATGATAGCTAGAGCGAGGGAGAGGAGATTGACATAGAGCACCTTAGGAAGAGGAAGGCGGAAACTGGGCAGATGACTCGGGTTTTGGGGAAGAAACCCAAGGCATTCGACTCTAGGTCGAAGGGCCAGCAGGGCCGGAGTTACTGTGGGAAAAGCGACAAGACGCTTGAGGGAGTTTGTAGGTTAGGTGGATCGGGCTGCTATAAGTGCGACAAGCTTGGGCATTTCGGTAGGGATTGTACTACCCCTACCCCCATACTTCAGTCATCAGACCTGATTTGCTTTCATTGCAATCAGAAGGGCCATAAAAAGGGCAACTACCCTAGATTGACATCAGGAGCGCCAGTGGCGGCACCAGCACCAGTGTAACACCCGTTTATTTATTAGTTAAATAAATAAATTAATGAACGAATGGTAGCCTAAAATAAATAATTATATATGCGGGGTGTTGGTCTCGAGGAGTTATCTATCGTAATTTTTGAAGGCGGGGATTAAAGTGTAAATTTTGGAGTTATACTGTAAAGGTTTATGGAGTCGGGGGTTAAAGGAGTACCACATGGACTTTATTTGAGAACAATATGTAGAAGAGGGGCTGATCGGTAAGTTTCGAGTGTTATTTGAAAAGGTTTTCAAGAGGCAGGGTTTATATGGTAAATATTGGGCTTCATTTTGAAAGATTATTGGAAGGGAAGGACTAAAAGCGACATTATGGAAATAAGTTGTGGAGGGATCAGGAGTATATAACCGTGCCTAACTCTAACCCTAAAGATAAACAGTACGCCGCCACTCTCCCACCCTTATACCTCCCTTCCACCACCACCTGTGACGCTCTTCTTCCGACCAGCTGAGCCACCAAGGGAGCGGAGCCCTATTGATTGATGTTTGTTGCCGGCGAATACGGGAGTCAAGGCCGATGTAGGGGCCGTTGTGCATCTGCCTTCTCCGGTTATGACGAACCTTTTCTCCCTCTTTTGTTCTTCTACCATTTCCCTCATGTGCGTCGCCATCTTCGCCCGATGGCTATCGCATTTCGATGATACCCATTCCGGGTCGCAGCAAACCACCATATGGGTGGCGATGCTGTGTATGTCCGTCTGTGTTTCGTATCTCAGCCATGTCGTGGTGTTGTGCGGGTTTCAGTGGTCACGCGGGTGTGTGTGAGTGAAAGGATGGCTAGAGAACGCAAGAAGACCACCATGGCAGCCAGCCATGGTGGTTGTCACCGGGAATGCTTTTATGCCACCATTGGCCACCGTGAAGGGTGGCTGTAGGCGTGTTGTGGTGTTGGTACTTGTATGTTGTGATGATATAAGGCTGTAGTAGCGTCCTTTGGCCGGAGTGGTGAAGAAAACCCCACTGCCACCACCGTGAGGTGGTGGCTGCTATCTCAACTTCGCTGTTGTCGCCGCCGGGAGCCACCAGGTGGGTGGCTGAAGTGTTGTGCTTAATTTAGGGTTTTTGTGTGTGTGATTGTCAACCGGAAAGCCTTAAGCCGCCACCACCACCACCGTGAGGTGGTGGCTGCCGCGATGCACCGCCGTGTATGTGTGTTAGTTAGTGTAGTGTGTGCTTATTTGTGATTTCATTGTAGATTGTAAAATTTGGAATAATGGAATGGAACTCAAACCACCACCGTAGGGTGGTGGCTGCCGCCACCGGCCGCCGTGTCGGGTGGCGGAGTGCTTGTCTTGTGAGTTGACTCGATTGGGGATGCTTGAAACCCTAATGGGCCTTGTTAGCCTAATGGGCCCAATGAAGCCAAATGGGCTTAATGGAAACCCTAATGAGTCTAATGGACTCTAATTGACACAATAAAACCCTAATGGGCTTAATAATATTTTAGTGGGCTTAATAGGCCCAATAAAGCCCTAATTGATCTAAAAGCCCAACAAATTAATAAATGGGCTAGTATTTGGGTTGGAAACCCTAATGCCATCAAAACCCTAATTTGGGAAATTAATCGGGACACACGGGAATTATTTAATAACTGGAGATATTAAATAATAATCATTTGCAAGGAATTAATCTAAGTAAGACTGGACTTAATGGATTAAGTCCTTAGAGGATTAAGTCCTTAATGGGTTAAGTAGGAAACTTAACCCTAATCATCATTTTATGTGAAACCCTAATTTCACTTGGGTTTATTATTGGGCCTTTATATTGGGCCTTGATGATTGGGTTATTAATGGGCCATCCAAAGTCAAGCAATTGGACTAGAATAATTTAATGGGCCTAGGGTAAGGCCCATGTAAGGGGCTTGGGCCCAATTTGGAAAATTGGGCCATAGATGGGCCATAGTTTGGGCCTTAATGATTATATGATGATGGACCCCAGAATAAGACCATGTATAGGCATGGGCCCAATTTGGAAAATTGGGCCATATGTTGGGCCTTGATTCCTAGTTAGACTTTGGGCCTATGGATTGGGCCTTGGGTTTGAATAAAGCCAACCTTGGGGTAATGTAGTAATTATCCAAGTACGTATTTATGGATATGTGTTGTGACCCAATTATTAATTGGGTGTTATTTTGGGGTTGACAGTTCGGGAATCTGTCATCCAACAGCTGGGGTTGAGTCTGCGGGACTTCAGCAGTGTGGGATTGTGTCTACGGGACTTCAGCAGTGTGAGGTGAGTTACCTTCCAGTAGCGGTGGGTCTACGGCCACAATGTCGGCCCACCAGTAGGAGTTGTATGTTAGATGATTGTCTTTGTGATATCATCTAGGTTTGCTACTACCTGATATGTTATATGCTGGCATGATATGTTATATGTGATAGTAGTAGAGTTCGGTTGTTAGGACCGAAGGGTAGGTCAGACACCCCAGATATGTCTGACAGTATGTGATGATATGTTTATATGCTGGCATGATATGTCATATGTGATAGTAGTAGAGTTCGGTTGTTAGGACCGAAGGGTAGGTCAGACACCCCAGATATGTCTGACAGTATGTGACGATATGTTTATATGCTGGCATGATATGTTATATGTGATAGTGGTAGTAGGAGGGGAATAGTCCCCAAGTTCGGTTGTTAGGACCGAAGGGTAGTTCGGACACCCCAGATATGTCTGATAGTATGTTTATGTTATGATATATATGATAGTAGCAGTAGGGGTGGAATAGTCCCCGAGGGTCGGTTGTTAGGACCGACGGGTAGGTCAGCACCCCAGAATGGCTTGACATGGGTAGGTCAGCACCCCAGAATGGCTTGACATGGGTAGGTCAGCACCCCAGAATGGCTTGACACGGGTAGTCAGCACCCCAGAATGGCTTGACACGGGTAGGTCGGCACCCCAGAATGGCCGTACCGGGTAGGTCGGCACCCCAGAATGGCCGTATCGGGTAGGTCGGGCACCCCAGAATTGTCCGGCAGTATGTATGCTATGTGATTGTATGGTATGTGGTATGATGGGGGAACTCACTAAGATTTGTGCTTACAGTTTTCAGTTTTGGTTTCAGGAACTTCGTTTTTGAAGGAAAGGAGCCGGCTTGATCGCAGCGCATCACTATATTTTCCGCACATGAGATATTTGGGATTACACTCTGATATGGTTTTATGATAATATGTTTTGATTACTGACACTTTGGTTGACACGAGATATTATTATGAATGTGTTTATACTGATGGCTTATGTAATAACTTATTTAAAATTGAAATTTTTGGCCTTGGATTTTGGGATGTTACAACCAGCGACCCTGCGGATCACGGATGGCTGACAGGGCAAGAGAGATGCTCTAGTGGTGTGGAGTCGAGCCTTCCATTTGACCGCCGAAGAGGCGTGTGCCACACCGGATGTGGTGACGGGTACGTTTTCTTTTCCCTAACTCTTATTACATGTCGGTTATGATATTTATGTGCTATGTTTTATGGTTTGTTTAGGATCATTCCATGTGAACTACATCCCATTACATGTGTTATTTGACTCGGGGGCTACCCGATCGTTTGTCTCTCTTGCACTTGGAAAGAGGTTTCCTAAGTCTTCAGACATGTTGGATTGTACTTTAGAGGTCGAGATTGGTGACGACTGATCCATCCGGGCATCAGAGGTTTTCAGAGATTACGTCTTGAGGTTGTACGACGAGCGGTATCTGGTGGATTTGGTTCCCATTCCTTTGAGGGGGAACAAGGTTATCATTGGAATGGATTGGTTGATCTCTAATGGGGTGGTGATCGACTGCGAGCAACAGTTGCTGCATGTCAGGACCCTAAGTGGGGGAGAGTTGGTGATTCAGGGTGAGAGGCTGTAGCATGGACCAACCTTGTGCTCAGAAGCGAGGGCTAGGTGCTACCTTCAACAGGGTTGCACAGGGTATGTCGCCTACATTATGGATACCCAGGAGGCGGGTACGGCGGCCGTGAGTGATGTGCCAGTGGTGCGAGAGTACCCGGACGTATTTCTAGAGGAGTTGCCTGGGATACCTTCGGAGAGACGGGTGGAGTTCAGGATCGACCTAGTCCCTAGTGCGGCTCCGATAGACAAGGCACCATATTGGTTGGCTCCTCTCGAGATGTAGGAGTTGTCTACACGGCTGCAGGAGCTGTTAGACAAGGGATTCATTAGGCTGAGCAGTTCGCCTTGGGGAGCCCCGATCCTGTTTGTGAAAAAGAAAGATGGTTCGCATTGGATGTGTATAGATTATCGGGAGCTGAACAAGGTAACGGTGAAGAACCGTTACCCACTCTCGAGAATTGATGATGTCTTTAACCAGCTACAGGGAGCATCTTGGTTTTCCAAGATAGATTTGCATTCAGGCTACCACCAGATGCGAGTCAGAGATAAGGATGTACAGAAGACTGCTTTCCAGACTCGCTATGGCCACTACGAGTTCGTGGTGATGCCCTTTGGGCTCACCAATGCCCCTGCCACGTTCATGGATCTCATGAACCGTGTACGCAGACCGATGTTGTATCGGTATATGATAGTCTTCACTGATGACATCTTGGTTTACTCTAAGACACAGGAGCAGCACGATGAGCACTTGCTAGAAGTGTTGGTTACCTTAAGGAGGTAGAGCTTGTACGCCAAGTTCTCCAGATGCGAGTTCTGCTTGCGTGAGGTGCAGTTTCTGGGGCACCTCATCAACCAGAACGGTATTTTGGTCGACCTAGCCAAAGTGGAGGTCGTGATGAGATGGGAGGTTCCGAAGTCTCCATCTGATATTCGGAGTTTCCTCAGGTTAGAAGGCTATTACCGGAGATCCATACAGAACTTCTCCAAGATAGCAGTACCCTTGACCCGGCTGACGAAGAAGGCCATTGTATTTCGCTGGGGGCCTGAGCAGCAGGCAACATTCGAGGCGTTGAGGTAGAGGTTGTGCGGGGCTCCAATCTTAGCCCTGCGAGAGGGCGTCGAGGATTTTGTAGTGTACTGCGATGTGTCCATCTCAGGTTTGGGCACAGTGTTGATGCAGAGAGGACACGTCATCGCCTACGCGTCGAGGCAGCTGAAGCCTCACGAGGTGAACTACCCGATGCATGACTTTTGGAGTTGGGGGCGGTTGTTTTCGCCCTCAATATTTGGCGACACTACCTCTATGGAGTCCGTTGTACCATTTACACGGACCACAAGAGCTTGAGGTACCTCATGGATCAGTCGAATCTGAACATGAGTTAGCGCCGACGGTTAGATGTGGTGAAGGATTACGATTGTGAGATCCTCTACCACCCGAGGAAGGCCAATGTAGTAGCCGATGTACTTAGCCGCAAGGCATTCGCAGCCCCGATCAGAGACATCTCTCTTAGGATGACAGTAGTGACTCCACTTTTGGAGAAGATACAAGAGGCCCAATAGGAGGTTATGAAGGAGGAACACTGGAAGGGTGAGCATATCGTGGGACAGATTTCCTCCTTCGACTATGATAGTCGCGGGCTATTGACACTCCATCGCAGAGTGTGGGTTCTGTACACAGGAAGTGTGCGCCAGATCCTGATGGAGGATGTGCACAAGTCCAGATTTTCCATCCATCCCGGGCAACGAAGATGTACAAAGATCTTCGTCCTAAGAATGGTGGCCCTACATGAAGCGGGATGTAGCCTGGTACGTTGAAAGGTGTCTGACCTGCAGGAAG